TGTCCATGCTGGCGGTTTTGCTTGCCGGATCAGATCCAAGATCTCCACCATTTAGGCTGTGATCAGACTGAATGCTTTTCTGCTTCCCCGTAGCCAGATAGGCAGCCCAATCCTCGTGCGTAAGATCGTGGTCGAATTTGAGGCAGTCCTTGAAAAGTTTCCCAGACAAAGTGGCGCCAACATACTGGATGGCTCCAGTCTGGACGAAGAATCGACACGTCTTGGCTGCCACTTTCATCTGCCATCTCAGACCCAAAATGCCCAGTTTGCACCGTAGGTCATGATATCTGATGATACCAAAGGCCTTCACAATGGCCATTATTGTTTGGGCTAGAGAGATGTAATCAACTGATTCCCCATTCCACCTGCCACGCCATGAGACTGGCTCTAAGTCGCACGCCAGGGCGTTTCGGGACATATCAACAGTCGTGTGCAGACTAGCCGTTGCTTTCAAGGGATCGATTGGAAGAGCTGGGGCGAAGCGCGTCAACCACATCTTGCTGGTCTTGGTTCCCCTGACGAGCGTCGTTCTTTTCGAGATATATCCCTTCTCTGCTAAAGCATCTGTTCTTTTGGGCAATGAGCGTTTGTCTTGGCCAACAAGCCGACCTAAATCGCCTTGCAGGATACCCTCCTGCTTAGTGGAGGCGATACCGACCAAGGCCATCCACTCCAGTCTCGGGACCCTTCGGTAGTCGGGCGCATGTCCAGCAATGGACTCCCACATGCGATCCTCAGAGACGTATATACGAGGCCGCTTTCGAAGGCCTGGGGTCTTCGGCGCCGACTTGACGAGGCCGTTAGATTCAGAGTCATTTGGACCTTCTTTTGCGGCACCCTCTGAGGTACTGGGAGCTGCTGTTCCATCCTGAGAGTCTGGATCCGGTAAGGCGAGGATGTCAGCCAGAGGTACATGATTCCACTTTCGATTCGGTCCGACGGAGACGTCCTTCCTCACTCTCAGCCAGTCCCAGGCTGTAGACCACAGTAACTGGTTGGATTCCTCGTCTGTTGACTGAGAGGGTTCTGCTGGTGCATCTTGCCTGGGTCGGGTGTCCTTGTAAAAAGTCCCGAGTGAATCGAGTACATGCAGTACAGTGCATCCTATTAACCGCTTGTCAGTGAGATGCGCCAGCTAAAAAGTTTTCCAAGCCAAAAAGTTTTTGAACGCACGACTGGTGGGGGGACATAGTCGAATGCCAGCCATCTCAGTGTAATTGCGTAAATTGTAAGTAGAATGATAATTTGAAGTGATGAACAAGAAGCCGAGAATCCTCGTTCTCATGAGCGTGCAGGGCAGGTTCTCTCACCCAAGTCACCATAACATGAGATGTCAGTGATGACTGACTCTATCAGTCGCTCGAGGTCGCGGGACATTGTGCCTCCTTTTTGGGGGTTGTCATTATCAGGTGAACGAAAGCCGCATAGAAAAAGTCATGCGAATATTGACGGCGAAGGTCGACGATGGAAAATCGAACCCAAGATGCCTGGGTTGGCGTATGCGGTTGGTCGAAAATTCCTTCCAGATTCCGGTTGGTTTTCCCCCGCTACGTTTGAGTCGGCCAAAGATCTGGAAAGTGGAGGGGAAGGAAACCGCTTGAGTCTGGCCGCGTCGGGAACCCCGCCGTCATGGTGGGATACGTACCTTAGGCGCAGCATCGTCCAGGTGGCTGTGGTGGCTGTGGACGAGACAATAGCTACTGTTACTTCCACTGCACGTGATCATGGCATGATATCTGATTCGCACGGACGTAGTCCGTAATTTGGCCTTCAGTTCTTGGATAACCTTGAGGGCAAGAGGGCCGGAGGTATGGACTGGTAATCTCGTCTCGTGTCACATCTCAAGTAGACAAGATATGAGGTAGATAATTAAATCAAAGTGACTCTAGGTGAGCTAGGTTTTCATCGGCGTCTTCAAAGACAGGCTTTTGTTACTGCTAGTTTTGGGTATCTCGAGATCTCGTCACGGCAAGCTTAGCCAACTTTTCCTCCTGCTGTTTTCTGTAAGCCACAAGGAATGCCTCTCTGGTTTCCTGGAGCTCTTCACGCCTTCTCAGGCTACCAGCGGATTTTGGCACGTTGGAGACATCAACGGCCGCACCACGGACCAACAGCTTATCTCTGCCGGCCTTGTGAAGTTCTGGCGGAGCCTGCGCGACATCATGGAGCCCTACTTTGGCCTCGGCACGCATCTTCTTGAGCACCGCCCAAGGATCTTCTTCGCGGTCTGCGCCCTTACTCTTCTTCCCCTTTTTACCCTTCTTCTTGTCCTGCCCAGGTTCGTAGAAAGCCTTTGAGGTCTGTCCGAAATTGCCAAAGGTACCGCCGTTGATCTCTTCATCTAGCTCGCGTTCGGCGATCTCTTCGAGCTCCTCTTCTCTCTTCTCTTGAATCTTGCGCTCTTCCTCACGCCACTGGTCATATAGCTTGTGCATCTTCTTCTCTTTCCGCGTCCTGACGGTCTTGAGACCGAGAGGATCTTTTCCGCCCCTTTCAGTCTTGTTGACAAGGTTGGCCAGGGGTAGGGCTGCGTTGACGCGGGCAGCGAAATCGGACATCTTCTCACCCGGCCTGATCGTGGGCATCTCGGGCTTCCCAGTCTCCTCAGCCTTGGTCTCGCTCTGCGCGGCTGCCGCAGCTTTCTTAGCTGCCTTCTTCTTCTGGGCCACCGTCTCGCCATTATCTAGACCAGATCGTTGTCTCCTGCCCGACGCCAACGACATGATGCGCTTGAAAGCTCTCGGAGCATCGTCATCATTGCTGCGACCTTTTCTCTTCTTGGAGACGCCATCATTCTCTGTCTTTTGGGTTTTGCCATTCTTGCCGTTCTTGGTGTTTTTCGCATTATTGGCTAAAGCTTTTCGACTTCGCAGCTGAACGGGAAGCGGCCTCGCGATTTGTGATGGGGGGAGATCAAATCTGCATGAAGCCGGTTAATTTATGCCACAACGGTATCTCAGGCGGTTGAAACTTACGCTGAGGGATCTTGTTCCCTCCTCGTATGTTTGTGAGGCATTGCGACTGACTTGAATGGATGACTTATTGAGCGATTCAGTACAGAAACACGTTCCCCTCTACTTCAAGGTTTCGTAATTGCAGGTGAGGCGGGATGATTCGCGACTCAGGGACGGGAGTGATGGAAAATTTTGTATTATGTCAGCGACGATAACAAGTGGTCGTCTGATAAGAAGTGAGGCACATTCTTTGGGGGTAACCCCCGCTCCACCTCATGAAACCAACGCCCTGTCGTGGCAATGGAGGAACGTACCGTGCTGCAGCTGCAGGGGTCTCCACGTCGGAAAGCCCCTAGGGCCGGTCCACCTTGGACAGATCACACGCGGGAATCCCACAATCTGGCATCTTGGCACCTGATCAATGACAGTTCTGCAGCACATGGGCTGGCTTCACCTGGTCATAGGTACAAAAACTTTGCTCGAGGTTGAGGTACCCGCCCTGCATGCTTCGCTGATCATCTGTAAATTGATTTTTTTTTCCCTGCCAAGCAAGTGGTTGTCAAGTCATTCTCGGGAGACTCAAACAACCAACAGTGCAAAGCCTCTGCCAATACAATCGATCACCTTACCCACGGAGAAAATATGGTGCGGAGCTCACCGAATATACCTACCGGATAAGCGACTCAGAAGGATGGTGGGACCTGGAGCCGGCATCTAGGCCGAAGCACGTTGGAATCCAAAGCTTGTTTTCTCCAGTGAGATGATCGTGTTTGTCAATGGAGTACGCTTCTTATGGGAAGTGTACTAGAACATCCCTTTTGATGAGAACCAGGCTTGTCGCACGCATGGGCATGCATGGACAGTGTTCCTCCTTCATTGCCGTCTCGATGGATGATGCCACAGCGATGAGCGCCTCATGTTGACGGAGAAGTGCAGCGGTGACGGAGGCGCCGCCATGACCAGGCAAATGGTAGCGGAAGGGGGCGAAGACGTGCTATGCCAGAGACCAGATCAACATGAGGCGGTAATTGCAAGGTGGCTGGCACAACTGCTACGTCCCCGGTTGGCGAAAGCAACTGTAGGGGAACGAGGTGAGGTATTTGCACCCGAGTCCGTCCCACAGAGCAAGCCCGACGAACTCTAGGGTTCAGACTTCAGACTTCAGACTTCAGACTCGGAGAAAGGCGTGTTTCGCGTGTCGGAGATGTCGAGGTGTGGTTGAGTGAGGAGAACAAACTCAATTACTGGCCGTCTGATTATGTGACACTTCCAGTCGTTTTCGGACGTGTCTCAGTATCGACGGCTGATGAGTTGCGTACGTAGACGATTGCGCTGAGCTTTCTACCAAATGCCTTTTTTTCCATACTTTTTCCCGGCTTGATGTCGGCATAAGTCGGTGGGTGTTCATCAGTCAGTCAGTCAGTCAGTCAGCCCATAATCACGGTCAAGTCAGAAACACTTCGTGCAAGCATGGCCATGGCTGATGGATGGATGGCTGTTGTTTCTGGTTTTGGGCGGGAAACGGAGGGTCGGACGTGCCGCCGTCCGCGCGACCCATGGAAATGTCCCGATCAGTCACGCTCTGGGGCGATGCCGCGATGGGCGCATGGCTGACACGAGCGTGTATCTATTTTGGTGTGGCTGAGATACGGAGTACTGACAGATCGCAGCTAGACTTGGTCAAAACGCCTCGCCTTCGGCTCAAAGTGCGGCGGCCGAAGTTCTTATCCGTACACAAACAAGCACGCAAGAAGCTTCCCAGGCGCCACGCTGCCCTGCCTTGGAGTTGAATCCACATGTAAGCTGGCTGGCAATTCGGCGGGATGCCATGAACCAAGGTGGTCCACGAGGAAACGAGGGCATTTGTAATAGGTCGTTCTAGGCTGGTCTTGAACCTGGTGGAGGGCCATGATTTTGTGGGGATACCTAAGGCAGTTACCTCGTGCAGTCTGGTCCAGTCTAGGACGAGCGCGGACTCCTCAGACCGCACATAAGTAGGAACCCTCTCGGAAACGGCACTGGGGGCTGGTGCTCTATCTAAGCACATTAAGGTATGAATGATGCGCGTGACATAGATAGTACACCATCAAGGCCGGGAGTGCGAGAGGGATTTAATGTTACTAGCTGGTTTCTCATGGTCGCTTGAATGGAAGTTAATCCGCCTATGAGCTGCGCCACATGCTTGAAAGAGTATGGCCTGTAAGGCAAAGGCGCGAGAAGAGGAGTAGCAAGGTACCTACGTATTGAGTATTGTGTAGGTAGAGGCGGCATACCAGATGAGAGGCAGAAAGAAAAAACGAGAAGGAGGGATGTTGGCATGATTGGGAGAGAGGGATTCGAAAGCCCAGAACATGGAGCACGCCGTCTCTAAGCCGGTACTGGCTTAGCACGGACCATCTCAGAGTTGAGGAAGCGAAAGTCCGTCCAGTCTTACTCTCGCGAGGTGCGGCGTGCGGTGTTGCTGCGACTTGCTCGACTGGGTTCAAACTTCAATGTAGGTATCCATCTGCGGGGAGATGCCACGGCGGGGAACATAACTTCTCCACGGAGGCAAGTATCTACGCCGCCTATCGATAGGTACAAGATACTTCGTATGCACCGTATGAAAATGGGTAATGAAGTGCCTTGGATGCTTAGGCGCTCCACCAAGGACCTAACCCAAGGTACCTTGTGTCCATCGGTGGCCACAGCGGGCAGCTTTGCACGACGGTCATTGACCACTGAGATGTCCGTACTGGTAGCAGAAGGCGCAGCTGCTGGACTGGATTGGAGATCCATGGCCGGTACTCCTTCGCTCTCTTTCCCAAATTCTTTTTTCGTTCCTTTCAGCTGTAGGACCGTAGCTGTCTCCCGTGCCAAGCCTCCAACCAGTCTCCAACCAATCTCCAAGTAGTGTACCTCGTTCTTTTTCTTTTTATCCTCGATACTCTCTGAACTTCCGCACTGACTTTTCCTTGGCACCTCATGTTTCCCTTGTGCCTCACCCGCAGAGGCAAGAAGTGTCGAGGAAAGCGGCTGGGATGAGGGGTCTCAGGGTCTGGTCAAAGTACCTGACTCCAGGAGGGGGCGGAAGCAACTACGAGGTACCTGGACCTCGGGAACGCCAGAGTGCAGGGATTTCCCCGTCGGCCAGACCCTCGTCGACTCTCTTTCGCCATTCGACTGAGGCATTCCGACACGACAGGTTTGGTTTGAGAGAGGCATGCCGAATAACCTTAGTTGTTGGCCTCTTGTTTTGCGACTAACGACAGTGGGACCTTGGTGCGCCTTTCCACTGGTCACAGAGTCATCGCCCATGCGCTACCTCGACGCGCTACTTCCATGGTTGACGTTCGACACTTGACCCCAGACCTGAGAATAGTCTCACACACACACACCCTCTCTCTGTCTCTCTCTCTCTCTTCTTTTTTTCTTGGCCTCACTTTCTTGCCCTGTCTATTGTCCATGGCATGACTGTCGTCGTTGTCGTCGTCACTCGTCGTGGACACAATGAATGACTATCCTTGTTTCGTGGCCTCTGACCGTGCATACAACCACCGCCATGACACGATACCTATCTCTGCTGCCTGGCCAAGACGATCCACACATTCAGATACCGTTGTCCCTGAAGCCCATAATCACATTTGTTCTTCGTTACACTGATTGATCCTAGGCCTGAACCAACACCCCCCTTCGCCAGGGTAACAAACACAAACAAAACAGGCGCCAGAAACACTCCCTCGGGTCCCGCGCCCCCCACCGTCTTGGGGCTAGCTAAGCTCCTGATAGACTTTCTTAGTCTTAGTCCCTTTTACGGACGTGGAACAGGACAGGACATGGATGACTTGCAAATGCTTGAATACGCCGCCCACTGACTAGCATTAGTCCCCCTTCTCCCCAACCAAGTACCTTAGCTTGTAGTGTCTAGCATGGAATCCATGTATCGCTACTGCTGCATTGTTGCTGCTGCCGCCGTAGATGCCACTACACAACTGGAGACATCACATCTTCTGGAACCATATGCCAGACACTAGACCCGTGTCCCATCCACAGCACAGCGTCTTGTCCGTTTGCTCTCTGTCGCTCACTCACGCCCTCATTCAGCTCACTAACTCTCTCTCATTCTCCTCCTTCCCCTAGCCCCCGTTCCTCCGACTTTCCAACGTGCCTCGCTGTCTCTTCATCTTGCTCTCAGACCCTCTCAGCTCTTCCCAAAGTCTGTTCTCAACCGCCGTCCCTACCCCAGCATCCATCCCTAACCATGCTCGGATCTACTTGCCGTTTTAACCTTTATATCCCTACCCCATTTCGCCCTGTCCTTACCTCGCCCTGAGGTACCCGACCTTATTACCTACCTTCACCTTGCGGTGATCTTTAGCTCCAGTGTCCCCCTCTTAAAGCAGGCAGCAAGCCAAGCCAACAACCACTTTCACACATCCCGCTATATTTGGTGTCTCTCTCCCGCAGTTCTTCACTCTTTGCCTCGTCCGCAAACATCTAGACTTATTCGCCCTTGCCTTTGTTGGTTTCCTCTTTGTGCACCTCCCTTCCACCACTGCCAGTACCTCATACTACATACTTATCTGACCTCCTACCTCGAAGTGCCGCACAGCCTGCCTGACGGACTTGGAAACGGCTTGCCGTACAATAGCACTGCCGCAGCCCAGACTTACAGTCTACGAACCCTCGTACTTTACCACGATATGCTCTAGAGATAAAGAGCAACCATCCGACGGCCTCTTCTTCTTGCCGTCTCTCTGATCAGGCGCCTCTGTCTCCGACCCATTGTCCGATCATATTAGCTGGAATATCAGACCTATTCGAGAATGTCTACTACAAAGAGCGCCAGCATCGACGCCGTGCGTGATCGCTTCCGTCAATTTTGGTCCCGAAACAGCAACACGATACCTCGCTACAGAGACTCTCCCGAGGAAGCAGACACCGCAAGTGAAGGCGGAATCGAAGTCCCGCCAACACCAGCTGAGAGTTTTACTTCCGAAGATGGATTACTCCCTCCTGCCTACATGATACCGAAACCATGGACACGGAAACGTTCCTTCATCATGTGCGGCGCTGTTTGGTTAGCCATGCTGTAAGTGTTGCGAACGGCGCAATATTTGATTCCCCGGCTAACTTTGGATCTTAGCTTGATATTTGTCCTTCTGAACCTGGTACTATTCGTAGCGCGCGAGGTCTGGGATACGGCATCCGGGCAGTTTGAAAGCGCGAGCATCGTTGAGCCGATTCCATGTCACTCTCATAATGACTACTGGAGAAAAAGACCCATCTATGACGCTCTCCAGGCAGGATGCATTGGCATTGAGGCAGACGTGTGGCTCATGGACACCGAGTTATTCGTTGGCCACAACAAGTGGTCTCTGCGTCAGAAGAACACCTTCACGAGTCTCTACATAGACCCCCTCGTTCGTCTGCTTGAGGAACGGAACGCGGACCTCGGAAACATCACACAGGAATCGCCTCGGGGCATTTATGAGGCAAGCCCGGATCAAACCATGGTTCTCTTGGTGGATTTGAAGACGAGCGGCCCGGAGACTTGGCCGGAGGTGGTCCGTCAGTTGGAGCCCTTGCGAGAGCGAGGCTGGTTGAGCAAAGTCATCGATGGCAAAGTCCACTATGGGCCCATCACCGTCGTCGGGACTGGCAACACTCCTTTCGGTATGGTCGTCGAAAACACGACCTATAGGGACACATTCTTCGACGCTCCCCTCCTGAACCTAGACCGTCACAACTTTGATCTTACCAACTCCTTCTACACGAGCGTATCGTTCAAGAAGGCGCTCGGCACCGTTTGGTTTGGTGACCTATCAAAGGGCCAAATGGGGAAACTGAGAGCGCAAATCAAAGAAGCCCATTCTCGCGGCTTAATGGTCCGGTACTGGGATCTCCCAGCATGGCCAATCAGTATCAGAAACCACGTATGGGATGTGCTTGTTCAAGAGGGCGTTGATATCCTAAATGTGGACGATCTGAAAGGCGCCAGGAGAGAGTGGGATCTCAAGGGGTGGAAACGGCTAACCGGCAACTCCACGATACCAGCCTAACCGGATAGGGCTTGTGCACAATGGTGTACACAGAACCAAATCATCAAACCGCTACCAATTATGACAACGCATAACAGCGTGAGCTCCTCCAGAGGCACACCCCCCTCTTCGGAGTCAGAGCCACGCTTGCCGGTCGACAATATCTGGAATGTTGGCGGGAGCACTCTCCCTGCTCATATTGGCGTGTCGCTTCTCGAGAGCTGAGACACTCGATGCTGGGAGAATACGATATAAACACTACAACCACTACCGATCTCCTATTCAAGGCCGGCCCATGGGCCATCGCACAAAACTACCCAAAATCGATGTACAACGTTGTCAGATCAACTCCTTTCTCGGGTAGGACGACTTCTCCGAGAACGTCCTTCACATACGGCTACTTGGAGTCGCCTTGTCTACACCGAATAGTACACTTAGAAAAATTTCGGACGTGCCCATAACTAGAAGGTGTTTACGTGGCAAAGTTATTGTACACGGAGAAAGGAACATGCGGGACGTTGATGGAGTAGTAACATACGTACAATGAATGGGTTGGCGCAAGTTGCATTGCAGTCAACGCCGTTTACAGAGCGGGCCGGGCGATAACCGCCGAGCTGACCGATTCCGATCCGTGCCAAGACTCGGGTGCGATGGCTTCGCAATCTTCCTCCCGGCCATCGCCGTGTGTGGCGGAACGGGCTTTGCCCGGATACCTTGATTAAGATAGATAAAAGTTACTAGAATACAAGGACTATTAGTCATCATATCTGGTCGGGATTTGCAGGCGATTTGTGGTGCATCGGTTTTTGCCTTTGAAGCCGAAATACCGTGTTTTCTCCGGCGGGGAGGCCTCGGCAACGGCGAACAGGACGACGCATCTTAGACTGATGGTTCTCTTAGCTCACGACCCCGCAATATCCATGGACGATCTGAATGCATGACGTCCGGATGAAATACCCGCCCGCAATACCACGTCTTGAAGATTTAAGGCAGGTGTTCGTCGACATTTCCCCCTTTGATTCAATCATACATAGTTGCACATATAAGGACTCAAATTCGATATCTTCCCTTATCTCATCTCATCTCAGCTAATCGTATCTCGATTAGACGAACTCTCTTCCGAACCCTATCCTTGGCATTGTTTTCATCACACATAATTCCACTATCAACACTTCAGCCTGTCTTTCACAATGTCTGGACAGCTCGCAAGTCTCGATGTGAGTAATAGGGTCAAATGGGAATACTGAACTACAACGGCGACGAAGCTCCACGATCACTAATTAAGAGCCAACTAGCCCTCCATGGCGGATCGTCTGCCGCCTCATTCCCAGGTCCTCTTTGACGCGAAGGCGTCAGCTGGGCTTACGTTTGAGGAAATCGCCAAGCATCTCGGCCGCAGCGAAGTTGCCATTGCGGGCATCTTCTATGGTCAGGTACAGGCCTCGGAAGAGGACGTCCAGAAGCTGTCTGAGCTCCTCGGAATCCAGGCCGCGAACCTGAAGCAGTTGAACAACTACCCCGACCGCGGCCGAGCCGGGCCCATGCCACCTGTCGAGCCGCTCATCTACCGCCTGTACGAGATTGTGCAAAATTACGGGTACGCCTACAAGGCTGTCATGAACGAGAAGTTTGGCGACGGCATCATGAGTGCGATTTGCTTCAACACAAAGGTCGAAAAGGAGATTGATGAGGCTGGGAGCCCGTGGGTTGTCATCACCCTCAAAGGCAAATGGTATGTACAATTTGCTCGCTTCTTATACTTGATGCTCCATGGCTATGAACGTGAAAACTGACCTTAATGATTAGGCTTCCCTTCACTCGGTTCTAGGGGGAGCCATGAAGTCATTGGATACAGCAAACAGAAGCGTCATGTGAAATGAGCAATGAGGATAGATCAGCTTTCATCACGTTTGTCGCCCGAGGCTAGTTTGGAAGCGAGGAGTTTCGGCTTGGTGGCAATGTATATGAAAGAAGGTGGTAGTCATTCGATCCCCCAAGGTGGTCAATCCACAGACACACGACTGTGTTACCTCGAGCTTCGTTCGATGTAGCATACCTTCGCCCACGGTTGTTGGCCTGCTACACAATATCAGATCTAATGAGAGACCAAGACTCGTAGTGGGGAGATAATACAAGCTTGACAGCAGGTTGCGGACCTTGATTTTGGTTGAGAGCATCGACGGCCGCATAATTGTTGAATTGCCCTTCTTTGATCACATGATTGGATCAAAAGAAGCCATACTTAGCCACTGGGCGAGTACTCGTAATCGAAACATATCCCGCAAGGGTCCATGACCGCAGTCTAAACATCGAACGATCGACACCTCAGAAAGCTGCTGTCTTTGGTAGAGTAACATATTCGGCATGAAAGGAATTTGTTCAGTTTCAGCTGCTCAAGGAATGAAAGCCAAGTGTTTCCTAGTCAAAGAACTTGTGCGGGTACAAGTATTCAAGATCGTCTCTCTTCCATACTCCCCTATTCGCCCCCCCCCCCCCCTCCGGTTGGCCCTTTGTCTCTCAAACTGTCACTCAGTGCCATTCCCGTCCGGAGGAGTCTCGCACAGTTTACCTTGATTGCGCTGGAAGCATGCTTTGTCGGTCCCCTGCACCTGGCTTGTACGTCTGTCCGAAGATATTGCCAAGCCCCAGGCCCCTCCTGTATGCCGTATAATATCGCTGTCTCGGGCATATCAAAGGTGCTGCAGGACTCGAAGAGTACAGGCTGGTGATCTAGCAAATGAGGCGAAGTTTCCCTGCTCGCCGTTGCGGTGAAGTGTATGAAGGCTAGCCTCCATTTGTTTGCAATGTTGTGACGCTGACAACAATGAACTTTCATGGGTGTTGCCGGTTTCCTAGTCAAAGAGTCCAAGTTCTTGCAATAGTTGTTCGGCTCTTGTGCTTGACTCGTAGTCATCAATTACGTCTCGGGCAAGTCATCTGCTCGTCATTGTGGAAACTAGGCGCTGCGTAGGAACATCGCAGCTGCAGCACACTATCCAACGCGGCCACTGCGGACTTGAACAGCTCTAGTGCCACAGACGAGAGGAACCGCTGATATAAAAAGCAACTGAAATACCTCGACACTATGATGCGTTTGTCCATCGCCACAATAAGGACCAAGGCCTACGTCGATCGTCCTCTATCAAAGAAACAGACCCGGATATACTATTTTACGCTGTCTATACCAAGTCAAGACAGAACCTGACTTCAACACCAAGCGCCAAAGCAGCTGTGATGGAAACCCCTACCAACACTTGCAAGACCGATGTCAAACCCAGTTCTGGCACCAACGGCAGCGACCAAATTCCCTCGACTACTCAACGAAGACGGAGGCCATAGAGCTAGGCCAGTCTGGCAACGATGGGGTGGCTTTGAACAACTGAGCCATGTAATTAGATAGACCGCAACGAGAGCGCCCCGTTGTGGATATCCCGGGCTTCATCCCTCTGTCTTCACCGTACCACTTCACCATACTACAATTCAGTCTTCGTTCTTGACTGCCCACGTACAACTTCAACAAAGCACTAAAGCCTAGGCCCCCGTCAGAACGGCCGTGGACATGTCCGGTAGTTTCTGTTGGCCCTGAAGTATGGTCTTTTCAACAATTTCAGGCAACAAAGTGTTGTATTTTTCATAGCCATGCGTGGATCAGGTAGAGGATAATGGTCACAAAGCCCATATGGCGCAAGTACAGAGCATTTGATTCTGCATTAGTAGAATCTATATTTCCGGGCATTTCCTAGACAGTGCTCCTCTCTTCAATTAGTAGCCTTTCCCTGTCGAAGCTGCGCCTAGTGTCTAAAAGCAAGTGGGGAGTTTGTGTTCTAGATCGAGGATGTAGATAATGAAATCCGTTCTTTCTGGTAGCCATGAGCACAACTACAAAAATCAACACCCTGTCTGCCGACGACAATAAGGTAAGTGCTTCACCGGACTGGAATAGACACATTTACCCAAAAAGGACTTCAAAAACATACAACACCAGGTATTCGCTGGTCGTCACCGACCCAACTACTAATCCGGCCCTCAGTGGCTTATCTATGGGAGAGCGGACGGGATCCCGAGTTTTCCAATGGGTATGGTCGTATGTAACTGAATGACGATACAGTATAGCTTATATACCATAGAATGATAGGTAACATTTCCATTATGGAATGTCCGACCGTCCGAGATTTTTGAGTGTATTCCTTCGTTTGGACAGAGAATGATGGCTAGATTTTAATAACATATGCAGATGTATGTGTTCAAGAGAGTTGAATTGGAAGCAGACTTGCGAAGATCATCTTCATCCGTGTCTTGTTTCGTTGTGAATCATTGCAATGAGAATGATCTCAAGACAATGTTGAAGACAAGTAAAAAATGGTTGACCAATGGCTGCTTACCAAGTCGGGGGCCATACCCACTATGGAGTACCAACCCCACTATGATGCTTGACCGCCTCGACTGAGTGGGTCACCAAAGCGGCAGAATTATTTTCAATCGACATTTTTTCTGAGGACCCTCCCCACGTTACCGCAACCCGACCGTAAAGAGTGTTGATCCAGCATACTTTTGCGACCAATCCAATATCAGTGCACTTCAGATATTTTCTGCAGTCATGGTTACCAAATCCAAACTCAAGCTTGCGCTAGCGGCCGAGAAGGGCATCGACCTGCGGAAGGTCAAGGAAGAGCGCAAGATCAAGGCGAAGCACCGCGAAGCCGCCAAGGAGCAAGAGAAGAAGAACAAGAAGAACAAGAGCGTCGAAGAGGATGACGAGGACGACGAGATGGAAGACGACGAGGGAGGAGACGATGCCTCTGTCATCTCCATTGAGGGTGGTATCACCTTGAACGCAGACTTTGAGGATGCCGACTCGGAAGAAGAGGAGGAGGACGACGAAGAAGAGGACGACAAGGTTCGTGCTCCTTGCACACCGCGAAAACCCCGGGACCCCTAGAATTGTTGCTGACAGGAGTTCTCCAGCTCGATATCGAAGCATTGGACGACACAGATAGTGACAGCGACTCCGATATCGAGATGGAAGCAAAGATCGAGCGTCCATCCAAGAAGGCCAAGACAGCCACCAAGACACCCACAGAAATCGAGGAGAAGGACGGCGAATCAGATGATGAGGAGGACTCAGAGGTTGACCCCGAAGAGGACGACGTTCCCATGTCGGATCTCGAAGGCGACGACGAGGATCTCGAGGACATTATCCCCCACACCAAGCTCACAATCAACAACAAGGCCGCCCTCCTGGCCTCCCTGAACCGCATTCGAATCGACACATCCTCCACAGCCTCCTTCACATCGCACATGACCGTCGCTTCATCCAAACCAACCGCCGAGGCCGTCCCCGATGCCCAGGACGACCTCCAGCGCGAGCTCGCCCTGCTCTCACAGTCCCTCGAGGCCGCGCGCAAGGGCCGCGCGCTCCTGATTAAGGAGGGCACTCCATTCTCCCGCCCTAAGGACTACTTTGCGGAGATGGTAAAGGACGACGGACAGATGGATAAGGTCAAGGCCAAGCTTATCGAGGAGGCCAGCTCCAAGAAGGCTGCCGCCGAGGCGAGAAAGCTCAGAGACCTCAAGAAGTTTGGCAAGCAGGTGCAGGTCGCCAAGTTGCAGGAGCGCCAAAAGGCCAAGAAGGATACACTCGAAAAGATCAAGACGCTCAAGAGGAGTAAGTTACACCTCCCTCCCTAAAGCTGCTAGCTGCGTGCTTCAGTACTCGTTTCAGTCCGAACCGGTCACTAACTATCCCCAACCCAGAACGTCAAGAAAACTCTTCCAACCTCGACACGCGCGAGGCCGACCTCTTCGACGTCGGCGTCGACAACGAGATCAAGAGTCACACCAACTCGGACGGCAAGCGCGGCGGTCGCGACGGCGGCCGATCCGGCAGTGGCGTCAACGCCAAGCGGTCCAAGAAGAACGAAAAGTACGGCTTCGGCGGAAAGAAGCGCCACGCAAAGTCGGGCGATGCCGTGAGCTCCGGCGACCTGAGCGGGTTCAACGCCAAGCGCATGAAGGGCGGCATCGGCAAGAAGCCCCAGCAGCGGCCGGGCAAGAACAGGAGAAAGGCCATGAATAAGTAACTGAGAAAAAAGAAAAGGAGATTGCTGTTTTCTGTAGCGTAAAAAGTCAGGGGTTGGAGGGGGGAATGGAAGGAGGAGAGTCTGTAAACAAAAAATTAGAACGGAGGAGCAAATACCCCTCGGGTTCGATGGTAATCCACAAACGATATGATTCAACTGCTTTTTAGTGACCTTTCATATTGAACGTAAGCATCAAATGTCATTTCCTTGTCTTCTCGTGTTGTATCCCAAAAAGCCTCGAATTCCTCACTGACCCACTGGTCAGCATATATTGTGGCAGAGATATCCCAAAAAAGTTCAAATTAACTTCGTCCCAATTCCATGTGGACGGTACGCGATGAACTTTCTAGCAAGCGCGCCAAACAGGCCGAGAGTTCAGCCCTGACGGCTTTGAATCAACTTCTCGTCGCAAGAGGCGTGGCATTGTACGTCGTCACCACATCCCATTAGCATGTTTGTGCACAACGACGATACGGGTAGAAGGTTCGAAAGACCGCATAAATCCTGACATTATAGTAGTTGATCTCTCATAACAATACGTACATCATCCTCGCTTGCTACTCGGAATATGTACTCCTGGAGCATTGCGCAAAGCTTTCCCGTCTGCTCGTGCTATCCTACTTCAGAGGAATTGGGAAAAGGAGCCTGGAGGATACTATCCTGCCATCCATCTTGGGCGGCCTATGCATTCTCTCAATCCAAGTGAGCCGCCAATGTAACCATCATCTCCATCCTTCCGTTGCGGGCTTCGCCAGCCCATCAGTCCAAGACCAAGAAAATGTAAATCCGTGACATTAAGACCGTCTCCATGCCGCAGGGAGAGTCCTGCGGGACACAATCTTGGTAGTTTTGAATGTTGCGTATGCCGCCTTCGACGATTTGTCAGATGCGTGTGCTACCGTCCAAATCTTCCCGAGTGGTCATCTGCTGTTCCGTACTGATCGTTGCTGGAAAACGGTTGACACTGGCAGATTGAAGCCCGTCAATATCGACCACCGTGGTGCAAGTATGGATATAGTCGAGGGAATAGTGCCTTGCCGAGGACTTGGGCAGTCCGTTTCGTGGAGGGCATGTGAGGCTGAGGAAAACTGAGGATATATCGTCCTGGAATAAGGGGAGCCATGCCGTCACCATGAATGGCAAGCACCCAATGCCGGACCTGAATATGCTGCTGAAAGACCAGTGGTATCGAGGGAAACGCCATGCATTTAGAAAAAACGCTGTGCTGTGCAATGCTGTGCCACCTGTGGGCGGCAAAGAATCCGTATTATAAACATCGCGCCTCCGAAGGCGCTTTCCGGGGTATAGTCGAACGTTGTGGAGCACTGAGTGGCATGGATCACTGCGTCGCGGCCACGCACCAGTGGCGATGGAAAGCCCATGCACTCTTTTGACACTCCTTGCTGCAGTACTTGGTGCGGCGGCAGCGGCGACACTTGGCGAATTGGCGGGTAAACTCTTCCCACTTGCCGCACTGGTAATACGCACACTGACGAATGCCTCCGCGGGTATCGTCCTTGCGGCACAGATTTCTCATGACGACGCCAGCCCAGTATTGCATATCTGTGCTGTGATGTCGGACTGTGAACTTCTCGACCAAAGGGAAAATGTTGAAGTCGTTGGGCAACAAAAACTCCTCCTCCAGCTCTTCCTCTTCAATCAGCTCTTTGGAAGCGTCCTCGCCGTCCAAATAGCGGAGTTCCTTTCCAATCTTGAGCCTTGGGACCAAGTGGCTCTTTTGGAAATACGACCGCAAGCCACAATACTTGGAGACGTATGCAAGCAACTGAAGGGACATCAAGACGTCTTCTTCACGCGGCATTGCGGCAAGCATCTGGGCGTTGGGTACAAATTGTCGGTCAAGGAGATAGCGGGGAACGCTTGCGTTGGGAATGGCCGGCTGAGGAGGTGTAACCATGGTGGGACGGTTCGGTGACAAGCCGATGGCAGGCACAGGGGCTGGCGTCGTAGCAGCTGTGTTGCTAGTTTCCGCAGGGCCGCGGTGTGTGATGTTGAAGGCTCCAGTATCCTGAGTTTCTGACACAGTCGGGGTGTTCAGGTCCATTGTGGTAGAACCAGCTAAGATGCTGTCTCCCTCTTCCATGGTGATATCTTGGATATTAACGGCAGACTGAATCTCAGTGCCAGTGCCCGACATTTCAGCATCGGGAGACTCATCAGATGGCGCGTCATCTCCAACCAAGTCATCCGAGTCGACGGTGGAGTTTTGGTGACGAATGGAAGGACGACGACGGGAGCGATTTGTTGGTGCAAGTCCCGAAGTAGGTCGGACGGTGGGAGAGCGCATCTGCGGAGGCGGCAGGGGAGTTGTGGGGGAAGACGGTTGCGAGACCAAATTTGCGTTGCCAAAAGTCATCATCGACGCAAGGCGGTCAGCATCGCGCACAGGTCTGACAAAGCCCTCCATAGTTTCAGTGGCAGGCACGGCGGGTGCCAACGGCTGAACGACCTGACGAGAAGGAGATGCAACGGCATGACGAGCCTCGGCGGCACGATAATGATGGTGGTGGTGATGATGATGGTGACGGTGGGCAGGGAACGCAGGTCGCTCGGCGGAGGACGCCAGCGGATACTGGGGTGGAGTGGGTGTGGACTCGGTGTTTTGTTGATCGACTGCGGAGCTCGAGGACGAGGAGCCTGCGTAGGTAGCAGAAACGTCGATGGAGGGAGGAGGGGCCTGGCGTCTGGAGGCTCTCTGATCAACTTCTGTTCGGGTGGATCTGTTGGTGAAGGATGGAGCCTTGTGTACACTACGGTGTTCGTGGCTCCTGTGGCGGTGATGATGGTCCTTGCTCTTATCGTCCGACTTGTCTCTGCACTTCTCCGTGACTTTAATGTAGTTGTCGAGAATGGTAGCAATGACGGGGACCATGTCGGCCTCGACAACCCTGGTGCGGACGTTTTCGGTGCCTCTGACACCAATGTTGACGACGCACTGGAAGGCCAAGTTCCACTTCCACATGTCCATCATGTCCTTGCTCCGACCGCGTTTTAGAATGCATACCAAGCGCTCGATGCCGCCGTCGACAGTAAGAATATCGCGGATGCGAGCCGAGGATGTGGTGAGGTAGGCGAGATGGTTGAGAGAGTTGATGAGAGGAAGGGTAGACGTGCAGTCGAGAGCTCGTCTGTCATAGAGGGCGGTCGTTATGCCGACCGACGCCTTATTGACGTTTGGGATACTGAAATTGACTTCTCTCATCGTGAATGACGAGTAAGACGACGAGATGGATTCAAGGGTTATTCAAGTCGAATGGGGCCAGGCAGTGCAGCCGTGGAAAGGTGCGAATGTGACAAATCCCTTCCAGCTTGGGTGGCCCCTTTGACAGGTTTGAAAGAAGGAGTATGTTGATTCGTGCTCGCTCAACAGGTCGATGGGCAGATGATGGATCTCGAGGTGTGCCGAGTGAAGAGCAAAATGAGGAGAAAGAAATCGAGGTTTGGGGTTGGGGTCGCTCGAGGGTGGCGATATTGTTGTGTGGGTGTGTGTGAGAATTGAGTTGGATTGGACCGGATCGTGCGTGAGCGGACTCGTCTCGATTCGATGGTATCGGTAGTAGTCTCGTGTGGTGCGAGGGTCGGAGGTACGATGGGAAGCGTTGCAAGGCTTGTTGTTTTTCCTTGGTCGCGGTCTTTCCGAGGGCAATCGTGTGGTTTAATGGAACCAAAGGAGGCAGGAAGGGATGGTAGTAGTTTGTTGTAGGAAGAAGAGTCGCAGGAGTAAGGAAGAGGGTGCGATGTAGCGGCGAAAAGACGGTGGAGGGTAAAGGGTGATGGATTGGTTTGGTTGTGTTTCAGGACCGACACCCGGAAGCGTGACTCGGATGTGCTGTGAAATGGCAGTGGCAGCGTCAGCCAAAGCCAAAAGGAGCAGGAACTAAAAGCCTAGGCCGAGAGACAAGACGGATGCACGCAAAGTGGAAGCGAGGTCTGGCACGCAGCGATAGCAGCGAGACAATGCGTGCGATGACGCTTGACGCTCAACGCGAGAAGGTGACGATGAAGAGCGGGACAAGCGACGACGAGGGGAGGCTGGGTAGAACAAGAGTAGGAGTAAGGGGAAAAAAAGAGGAGGAGAGGAAGAAGGGGCAGAGGGAAGAGGAGAAGCAGACGATGAGGATGGATGCATCAGGTCCGCACGTACGCGAGATTTGTGCAGTGTTGGCCCAGTCCAGCCCGGTCAGGCAGCCCAGCCAGCGCCAGTCAGCAGGGCCCAACATGACTGGGACGCACCTCATCACACAACCGGGCACCTAACAACAGCACCTCAGCCAGCGACGCCCTTAGACGATGGAGAGCTACACAGGGCGCTTCCCCGTCTCACACATGGGCAATAAGCACACTCCCTGGAACAGCGGAGCACACAGCAAAAGAATACCTAAGATTCTAAGGTGTATCCAGGAGGCAGGCAGATAGATCATAGATGGCAGGGCCTCCTACTACCTAGGTACGTATTGATTTGGCAAAACAAATTAGTCGGGAGCTTGGAACACTTACCTGCTAACGCATCATATACCTTGCCCTACCGGCCTCTATGCGACTCCTTGCTTGATCGTTGAATGTACAGCGAAGCTGGTAAGGTAGACGGGGCTGGGCAAAGACCCAACAGCACACTCGATTGCACTGAGCCTTAGGCCCTTGAGGCGATATGTCAAGCAAGGTACCTTGGCCATGGTACCTGGGTTCCATGATTGGCGGTAAAATGAGCAGCAACTGTGGTGATGGAGCCCACGGACAGGAAGGGGGCAGGCAGAGGGCAGGGAATCATCATATGGGATCGCTAAGGTAAAGTATGGCAATAAGCTAAGGTAGGTAAGTTAGGTAGGTAAGGTAAGGGAAGGTGCGGTGCCCGCGGTAGAGAACCTCATCCTTCTATGCCTGTAGTCAAGTCATGGGTGTCCGATTTTTCATGGGCAAACGCGGCGAGATTTAACAGCAACCTACCGTACCTTACCTTGCGTGAACATGGCCAGCAGTGAACCGATCATGTCCTTCCGTTCCCCGACGCCCTTCTACCTTATTCCTCTAAACTGTACGGATACTCCTCGACGCGGCATGGTATCATGCAGCTTATATCAGCGCAATTGATGTTGCGATGCTCCCTCGGCCGGACAGAGTCCGACCGGGATAATATTTTGACGCGACCGCCAGCTCGACGAGCTCCCATGGACGGATTGTTTGGAACATCGTGAGGCAAAATCACTCTACGCCGTTGATATGGGAGCGACACCGGACAGTCAAATGACATCCTGCTGCATGCATATTCACAACCATCCGGCCAAGCCCTTTCCCGAGTTCGAATTCAACATCACATGTATACAAATTCAACTTAATTTTACCAAACTCAGTCATGCTTTCTCGAACTGCATCATCCCTCGCAATGAACCGAGTCCGTCGAGTCTCTTGAGCCTCGAAGTACCTACGTACAGACCGAAACACCCAGGGTTCGTTCCGCATCGGGCAGGCAAAGTCTAGACAGCACATCAGGTACCGGTCACGCCGCGCCGCTGTACCTGCCATCTAACACCCGCCACTCGGCCGCATTCGGCCTTGCTTGTACTTGGGGGAAGAGAGACCCTGACAAATTGCATGTCCACCTCCTGAGGGTCGAAGGTCGCGGTCTTCGTAGGTACATAGTTCCGTACCTTTGCTCTGTCAGACCAGCCCATAAGGTAGGTATCCAAGGTACCTCCAGGTGCGGCTAGCTCCCGCTCACTCCAACACCACCACCCGACCCCTTCACCGTCTTTTGGCACTCTCTTTTCCATGAGCCCGGAACACGCCTCCTCTTTCAGCCTCCAGGAACCTCAGCATCTTCTTTGTTCCTCAAAACGACTCTAATATTCCCCTGCTCATTCTTTTGTCTCTCGTCAGGCCCTCGCAACGTACGGAGCACTCTGCATTTACTACTGTGGTCGTACAGTAGACAGTAGCAGTGGGCGTTTCTAGCGCTGTTCCCTGCCGCCTCCCGTTTCTTGAGCCGTCGGCTCGGGTCAATACTGCCAGGGCAAGCGACCTGAGTGCTCACGGTCACGGTCTTGTTAGGTACTTGTTCGGACATTTCGTGGGGCCCTGCTATTTTCAAGGCGGCAGGCATCAACCTGCACGTCAGTCTTTCTCCACCAAGGTGGTTGGTTGAATGTTGACAGCGACGCAGTTCTGCCACATTGCGTAGCTTTCCAGGCAGTCTGTGCCGGCTGTGATTGCATTGTACGCACATTATCTGCATTGAGAGGGTTGACAGAGGAAAGATCAAGACATGAACACGCCAACGCATTTCAAAACGCCATCGTCGTGTGGAACGTGGAACGTGGAATATTGATGGAAGGAAAAGAAAGAATGGAAGAAAAAGCAAGGGCAGCCAAGTGGCCTACCCGTTGGCGATGCGAGATTGGGAGCTGAGAAAGCTGCCATCTATGGGCCTAGTGCATGAACGACCGTGTATTGCATGTGTCGTGAGCTCTCGGCTGCTGCTAGGCAGGATACCCTGACAAGCCTGAGCAAGACAAAGAGCTGGGGAGAGTTTATCGAGTCTGTGTGACGACAGGAGAGTAGGAGAGGTGGCAGATGCGACGACCGTTCGCACTACTTGTTGCTGGTCCGGTTTGATGTTGGCAGCTTACACCATTCTTATCTCTGATTGCTTGGACTGGTCGAGCACCGCGCTCTCCTATGTTTATCTCACCTTTTGGTAGTCTATCTCGCCGTTCACAGGTGCTCGATAATTGTTGCTGAATCTTCATGGTGCCTCCCTCACCTTGGGATTGGGTTGTATCTCGAGGTGCTCGTTTCAGGGACAGCAAAGGGTCATCATTTACATTCCTGCGTCCATTATCCGTACCTCGGTACATTTCCAAATGTCACTGGTGTTGCTCTGGCATTGGCAGCGTGAGTCTCACATCAGGTCCGCAGGGAAATTTCACAGGCACGTACTCCGTACCTACGGCGACAGATAGGTACTACTGACACTGGTGAACTAGGAGGGAATGTGCCCCACCACTGTCTTCAGCAATCGTCAGCGAACGGCACTTGTCCCAGATCCAACACACAAATTGGTGCGAGATTGCATTCCTTGGAGCGTCGTTTTCGTAAAGGCTGAAGCCCGAGTGTGCCCTGGGTTCGGAAGCGGTGAGGTCATGGTCCGTTAGAGAAGAGATCGCACCGCCAGGGCACAGATGCAGCCATGAGGTGAGTGCCATGTGTCAATTTATTATCAACATCAAATTTTAGTTTTGCAGGCACGGGGCAGGCGTGTCAGGCAGGGCAGGCACCGAAGAGGAGGGAACGCCTTCCCGTTTACGTCCCGCCCGATGAGAACAGAGGGACGGACGGCAGCGAGGGCGGGGCCTTCGCCGCCCTCTCCATGTATTTATTCGTACAGGGAAGACTCCAGGAAAGAGCCCGCCGCTCGCTGGATCTGTTCTCCGCCCTTCTCCAAATGACGGGAATTCGAACCTGCCTGTAGGCACAATACATCAAGTACCTGTTCTCAGGGACCACACAGGGCAGCTGCTGATGTCTCTGCTTTCCTGCACCGACGGAAATTTTCTGCAAAATTCTGAATCAGAATGTCTTGGGCAACATCGGAAGTGCCTTGGGCAAAGAAGAAGGTAATCAACTATGGATACTCCGTACGGATACCACCTGATTGCTTACCTTACCTTGCACCTCAACTTCTCAAAGTAGTACCTCAGGTACAAGGCCCCCAGCATCGAGTTTTATGCTCCTGATCCTTCCGACCCGTCGGGACCCTCAGTGATTTTCTCCACCTCAGCCGTCTTGGACTCTTGGTCACAGCACACCACGTCCGCCGCCCTCCCTCCCTTCCGTCCCCTTGGCGGAACATGTCCGGAGAACCATCCGCACGAGCTGGACTGCGCCGGGGACAGCGACTTGCAACATCCATTGTCCAATGCCATCGCAATGCAACTGACCGGCCACATAATAACAATCCCATCCATAGGTTACGAAGCACTGATATGAGCAATGGCATTAGTATCAACACAAACCCCACTCACAGACACCAACCTCCATCGCTGTTTTCGCCTCTATGCGGCAACTAACACTTATTCCTTTATAGACAACCTCTGCAGAAACTCATAGCGCGCCTTGCTAACTAACTGATAGACATTCCGATGGAGTACATGCCTGGCCGCACTCGGCAGACTCAGAGACGCATACAAATGGCGAGCCGTTAGACGCCTTGCTACCGACTTTGGCGTGGACTGCTGCATGCCGGATCCTTCTTTTTTATCCTTCCGCCTCTATCCGCCCGTTTGTCCGTTTGCCACGAGCTTCGGTACGGCGTCGGCGGCTGACTAGCCCACTGGGACACTGCAAAATCAGAAATACCAACTCTTTGGCTGACCAGAACTTGCGCTCAACAAGGACCCTGTTCTGATTGATTGGCCGAGATATGCGCCAGCCATTCGGAGATGCAATGCCATGCGATGCGAATGGCGCACAAGCTTCTTTTACGGCATGGAGTTTCAATGGCATTGTGGGACACAATAAGGTAGCCCTGGCCATGAATCGGGGGCTGGGACTCTGGTGATTGGCCGTGCGCGCGCCATTTCGCTTGCCGCCTCTGCCATCTCAATTCACCGCAGCGCTTAATTATTATCAACACGAGATGCAAGCCCGTTCCCTTCTTGCCTTCCCACTTGTCGGCCCTCCACCTTGGCAGTGGGCCTAGATCGGGTCTCGGTGCCACCACCACTGCCAAGGCTCCATTTACACTTCTCCAAATTTCTCAAGCGTCAGAATCCCCACTTTCTTGACGACAGATGCTGCTCTTTTCCCTTGCTCTGTCCTTCTCTCAGCCGAGAGTCTCCTGCGTTCTGATCCAAGGAACGGAAGGGGGGCCGGTGCAAAAGTAAAGGGAGGCAAGAAAGGTTGCTGCCGTGACCGCGGACGCTGACGGCTCACGGACTCCTCAAGGTTCACCATCCAGGTGCTTCGTGATGCGTCTGGCGCTCGGCTTACTCGATGAAAACACCTTTTGGGTTAGCCAGCGGGCACTTGGAAGACCTCGATCTTCTTTTCTACGACTTGCCGGTGCCAGTGCCAGAGCCAGCGCATCAGATCACTACAATGAGTGGTTGGTTAGGTAGTTGGTTGGTTGGTTGCTCCACACCCAGCGCAGCAAAGCACCAGGACCATCCAGCTCCAGTCGAAAATGTCTCGCCTTTCTGCCGATCCAACTTGGCCCCCGAGCAGTCGCTGCGGGCAAAGGGGGCTCGCAGCTCGCAAGCTTCCATCCATGGGGCTTCGCTTCTGCGTCGCCAACGTCGTTGTGTTTCAGATGACATGTCTCATGGTGGACTCACTACCACTGCCGTTGGTTCTTCCCTTGGCCAGTGAGGCATCTGTTCATTCAAGTTGAAGGGACTCAGGGAGGCCCCGTGAGCTGAGCGAGATACCACCTTGGCAACTCGGCCGACTCTGTCAGACTTTCCACACGTGAGCTGCCAACCAGAGCCGACCTATTAGAAAGAAGGTCAAGCAAGAATCGTGAGCTACCCCGACGGGACTGTGCGCCGTGTAGCGTACCAATGTCTGCATACTTGCCCACTATGTATGTATGTACTGTACTTTCCCGAAAGCCAGCCAACCACACAAACCCCCACCACCGAGATCGTGCAAGACGCGGTCAGTGGGACCCTTGTTTTCTGCCTGCCTGGGAGGCTGGCAAGATGGGCCGCTGCCCGCTGGCAAGCCGCAAGCCCATTCTCGGTTCGTGATTACGCGCAGACAGTGGATCCCTGCCCTCCATCCACTTGCCTCGATCTCGCTTCTAGTGTACGGATAGCCTGTCCACACGTGTTGGCGATGTACATAGTATCAACGTACCCACTTGTCTGCCCGTACACCATCAACGTACACGCACTTTATCCGTATATCTTACGAACAGTAACCCGTAAGTAGCGTGTGATCGCGACTAGTATTGAATGACTTACTGACAGGTTGTAAGTTCCGGTCCGAGTACCCCTATACTCGGAGTAGGCCAAGAGAATGACGGGGTTGATACGAAGTTGTCACTGTAGCTTTCAAAGCTCAAGATGATTTAACTTGTATACTTCTTTTCCTAGCTATGGTTTTGAGAGTTGTAGGAAAGATACACCTTGAATGTAAGGGCTGGTATTCGCTATTCCTTTGGCTACATACGCATGGGGCTTACTGAAGAACAAGCCATGAAAACCTCAAGATTTCTAACCCTGAGAACCCAGCAAAACTGTTCCCGCTTGCTGATTCGCTTTTAACTTTTCGAGTCCCTGCCGCCTGTATCATGGATGACAAAACGCCTTGCCGCAAATTTCAACCCAACGCCATTCGTCTGCCTTTGCCGACCTGCGCAATAGACCATAAAGCTCGACGGCGAAAAGAATCCCGGGGCAGGATGGGCCATAATTCAAGACCGGCCCAGTCTTTACTCCCCGCTGATCTTAGCATGGCGAAAGTACTTCATTCCCATCCAAGCCACGGAGACCCAAACCCAAGCCATGATACTGGTCAATATAATGAGGGCCGGATAGTAGCCTGTGATGGGCAGCGTCGGATCGTCCTCGAGCTCTGGGGGCGCGTACGGGGTCGTACCGACATCCCACGCCCAACTCCATACCCCAAAGACTGAGCCCATGCCCATAACAAACACCAGCCCCGTCACGATCAAGACGACCCAGCCCCACCATTCTGTATCCGAGTAGTCGATTTCTGTGTCGTTGGGAGGTAACGGAGTGGTCGATAAGCCGCTGTACGAGAGCGGTGACTTGGCCTGCAGTATGGACTGCTGCCTGGGCCGGGTTCCAAAGTAAGATTCGGAGCCCGACGAGAGCGACGAGTCGGGCTGCAGGTGTGACGGCATGTGGTTCGGTATGTGTAAAACGTCGTCTTCGTCCGTTGTAGATGTGTACGATATCGTAGGGCTGGTGATGGTGGACTCGGCCTCGTTTGTTTGCCGAGTATTCAACAGAGAAGAGACTGGAGATTCTACCAGACTCGACCTGCTCGCATATCCCTCCATAGACGGCCGCGGTGTCAGGTCCGCGATATTCAGTCCGAGAGGGTCGTGCTCGATAGTTGTCGCATGCGATCGAGACGCAGCGCCCTCCATATCGCGGGAGACAGTGTGTGACGTGTCGATAGTGAGCTGTTTCGCCTCTTTGCGCTCCCGTTGCGCACCTCTTCCCAAGAGGGCCACTTTCCTAAGGGAACCCTTCCTTCGTCGAGACTTTTGCTGCTGCTGCTGTTGCTGGATGACGGTCGACATGGATGTCG